GATTCGAGGTTCAACGCGCACGTCTCCCAGGAATGTTTGTAGCACAGCTTTTCAGCTGCTGAAAGCTGAGTATAAATCGCACCAGGCTCTGCTCTGAGATGCAGCGTGGCAGAAAATTATCAATCCTGGCCATATTCTGCTTCTAGCGGAGTGCCTTTTTCAAAGAGAATGCGATGAAATAATCATCGACTGTTGCTCCTGGTGTTGTTTCACATGGTAATTTCATGGTAATTCCATCGTAATTACCATGGTAGTTTTCTTGTAATTACAATTGGCGTTGGTAATTACCATGGTAATTACCGTTGTAATTACAACAGGTAGTCATTTCCTATGTGTTTCTCAACATTCATGTTATTCAAGTATCATGAACGTTGTAATTTCATTGTAATTACCATGTGGTAATTACATTGAAATTACCATGCAATTACAACACCAGGTCAACCAGGACATCATCTCGTGACAGATTTTGGCCAAAATTGATTCACCCTATACTTCGTGAGGAACAAACCTTCATGATGCATCTTCGAAAAATTGCTGCCACTACGAAGCCGTGCGCCCCCTGACGGCGGCAAAGCATTGCTACAAAACGCAGGCACTGAATTGTTGCGAGCGCTGCGGTGGCAGTGGAACGCTCCGGATAACAAGAAACTGCACCCGATGATCTTCACTTCCTGCCCCCTACCTCATTCTCCCGAAACCGACATGGGGTCGTCAAGAGGGCCCCCGATGGGGGCCTCGTGCTTCAAAAGCTTAGCGGGCGAAGTTTAAATCAATATTCCCCCGTCGCTTGAACATACAACTGGTTTCAAAACATGCTTTGTTGTTTCCAAAAAATCTCCAAGCCCTCATGCCCGCCACTCCTCTTCCTCCTCATCCTCACCTCCTCCTCCTCCTCCTCCTCCTCCTCCTCCTCCTCCTCAACTGCCCCCCCCTGCTTAAGCCACGTGGGAGAACGCTTCAGTGCTACCGCCGCTCGCCAATATGATGCGCCCAAGTCGGTCGGCGTCCACCCCCCTGCTTTCATTTCGGACCGAAGCTTGCCACATGCGTTTGAAAACTCCCGCTCCGCAAGGGGAGGGGGTGGCTGTGGAAGGAGGGAGATGGTGGGGGGGATGGGAACGGGGGCGGCGGCGACGACGCGGCAAGGGGAACCGATACCCGAACAAAAAAATCAAAGGAAATTCCGCTGCTGGCAAGCTTCAGACCACCCTCCCGTCATTTCACTATCTCTGCTCCTTCGCCATCCCCCTCCTCCTCCTCCTCCTCCACCTCTTTCTCGCCGTCCCTACCTACTCAAGACTTCTGCTTGTTAGCGAACGCAGTCGCAAAATGCGACTTCGCGAATTGATGGGCGAGCTTCCCAAGCCTTTTGATTTCATCGGCGGGGAGGCCCTGTCTCCTCGCAATGGTCATGATTTTCCCATAGGCCCTGCTCTGATGGTTATTCTGCAAACGCTTCTGATCTGCGGTATCATCCAAATACACATCCATATTGCTGACTTCCTTGGCCACCCAATCATCATCCAAGTCGCTGGCGTCAACGGGCGTTGGCGGGGCGCTGACGGACTGCGCTGCACGGTTGAGTCCAGCTTTGGAAGCCGCTGGCTTCTTAACAACACTGGGATTTTTTTTGGACAATGCACGGCCTTTCTTGGGTGCTCCGTTTTTCTCGGCGATTCGCCCCTGCTCGCCTTGGCCAGCTGGCGCTGGCTCTGAGCCCAAGGCGAGCGCCATGGCCATTTCCTCGGAGATAATCGCTGACTGCTTCTGCGCCTTTGGCCGTGACGGAGGAGTGGGCGTCGGAACGGACCTCTTCTTCTTGGGCCTGGCAGGCGTGGTGAGCTCAACCTCTGGGATGGAATCTGCCGCAGGATCCATGAAGACCGATGCAAACATGCTCTGCAAGTCCTCTTGGAAACTCGTGGGGCGACGGAAGAATTCCATAGGGCCATTGGGCGCCAGGCCGACAATTGGCGCCGATTCGCGCCCTGGCGGATCAGCGTCGGGAGAAGCCTGGATGCGACTGAACGAAGGGAACCTTGAAGCCAACCTAGAAGTAGGCACTGCACTCTCTGCAACGTAAGTTGCCGTTGTCGGGGCGCCGTCCTCGATCGCCAACATCCGAGAGGCGGGGGTGGTTGGCACTTGCGAATCGTCCAGTGAAAGGGCGTCGAGACAACATTGGATGCGGCTGATCTGACTTGGGGCTGCCTTCTTGAACAATCTGGTTCGATCTGCTTCGGACGTCTTCAACTGACACAACTTTGCCATGCCAACGCGAATCAGACTACTCATATCGTCGCCAAAGGCGCGAGGCTCCCTGGTTGAAAAATTACACCGTTCTTTCTTGTCGCACGCCACGACTGCTAGGCTCAAAATCGTGGGCTTGGGCTTACCATTTGGGCATTGCTTTCTGATGAACTCCGAGAGAAGATCATGCGTCTGAGCGAGAGATTCTGCCCTCGGAGCTAAACCGTGGCGTTGGTCGGATAAAGGCTCGAGCATTCGTGCCATATCCCTGGAACAACGACCAACCATCCAATCCTGCAAGATATCGAAGCATGCGGAAACTGTTTGGCCGTCCGAAGAATGTCGGCGGGCCATTGTGCAGGTAGCCAATGAGCGTAGATTACCAAACGCTGGAAGAGGCTTCAACTGCAGCCAAAATGCCTGCATCATGAACTCACGGATGGGGCTGCGATTACCAAGCGTCCTTCCGCTGAGAAAACAAGGATGCAAGACCGCGTGACGCCGTCAACGACGGATTGCCAATGATGTCCATAGGAAGCAGCTCGGCAAGGATGTAAGGGCCCTTTTGGACGGACGCACAGCGTTCATTCCAACGGCTGCCATTACCATTATCTGTCGAGCAAAAAACTTTCTCGCCTGTCCTTCCTTCCTCCCTTCCTGCCCTCCTCCATCCTCCTGTTCCTCCAGGCGGTCCAAGAAGCCTCCAGGACGCCCCAAGAGGCCTCCCAAGAGGGCCCCAGTTTTGCCCATCTCTGGATGAGGCATTTGGGGTGGGGAAAACGCAACACTTCCAGCCTACCGAGCGCGCCGAGAAAATGTTGCGGGGAAATTCAAGACGGCCTCTAGTTCTGGCTGAGTGGGGGGC